GGACTTGACCCCCCTGCTGCGGCTGCGGCTGCTGCTGCTGCTGCTGTGTGCAGGGGCCTGCAGCTGCCCAGCTGACGGGGGTAGGGCAGCTCCCCGCTCAACTCTCCTGCAGCAGGAACTGGAGCATATGCCATTGCCAGCCTGGTGCTGCATGCTTGCCGAACACAGCTGTGGGTACGTGTGCTTCCCCACCTGCTGTGGGCCACGTTGCCATCCCACCTTTCTGGCGGGTCATGTCTGCTCAGTGCTGCACCGGGCAGCAGCCTGCCTGTGAGACAAACTTGGGGGTCAAGACCTTCCTGTCTGGAACAAAAACCGAAACGTGTCTGCGCATGTGCCAAGGAGGAACTTGGATGTCTACCGGAGGAGGACACTGTCTTCACCAAGGTGGAACAGCAGAAGGGTGCTCCATGGGGAAACTGAACACTCACGGAGGCCAAACGTGCAGGGCTGGGTTTGTAAACTAACATGCAGTGCTGTCTGCTAAAACTGGCCCTCTCCAGCCAACGGCGAGTGGGAACTCGCTGTGGAAACCAGCACCTCTCTTGCCACAGCCAAATTTTGCCTGGCAGGGGTGTTGAGGCAGCCCTGCCTCTGTCTAGAACTGTGCCCCTGCTCTTGCTGGAGGATGAGGAGGGGGAACACCTTTCAGCGGTAGTGATAGAAAGGGCTTGCCTTCCTGCTCCCTGGGGGAGCTGGAACCATGGCTTTACCGTGGGGGGTTGAAGTGATGCCAAGGGAGAATGGGATGTGTTGGTGATGCTGGGGAGGCGATGAAGCAAACCCCTCAGCAGAGAAGCATGCCCTGGCCTGTGGTCTCACACCGCTGCTCGGCAGCCAATGTCATTCCCTGCTACCCTGTACCTGTGTCCAAAGGAAGAGCTCTTTGCCCCGATGCTGCCAAGGGCGGATGCTGTCTGTGGCCTCAGCAGAGGCAGCTGCTGGTGGCTGCTGCTGCACCTAACCCGTGTCTCCACTTGGGCCCTTGGTGCTGATCCTACTCCATGCACTGGGGCGGGAGGGGACCAGGCCTGCTGCTGCAGGACGGTACCCACAGCTGTAGGCGCAGTGGTGTGGCAGGGCAATAGCTAAGCTGTAATTAGTGGATGATTGCAGGGAGCCAGTGGCATCTTTTGAAGAGGCAGAGCAGCTGGCAAGCATTCTAGCCCCAACAAACACGGTGCTAGCACATGAGATGAGTGGGCAGGCTGCTGTGCATGCCTCCTCCATTGCTGCAGAAGTGCCTCAAATAATTTTGGGAGGCTGGAAACAGCACATGAGCTTGTGTGTGGTGGCATAGGACCAGATCCAAGGGGCAGAGCAGCTAGACACTGGCAAATCCTGGTTCCCGTGGCGCTGCCCTTCCCAAAGCTAAAGGAACTTTTCACTCATGGATACCTGCCTGCTCTTTCAACAGCTCCCAAGCGGCTGAGACAGTGGCAGGACCAGAGAGTGCCGCCCTGTGCGTCTGCACCATTCATCAAGCTCGGACCTCCTGTGCTGAAACCAGGACTTGGCTCACCCTCACAGTTACCTCCTGTAAATGCCGAGCTCCCCATGCCCTTGGGACCAGCTTCCACACCAGAGTCTGCAACACAGACCGATGCAGCTGTGCAGGTAGCTGAGCTATCGTGGCAGAAAGTCTGGCTGTGGCTGCTGGAGAGAAGGGAGGCACTTTGGGAATGATGGAAATGTAGGAGCAAGGTATGAGCTGGCACAGATGTGCAGCTGGGCTTGGTTTTGGGCTTGGTTTTGGTCTGGGAGTGTGTCCAAGTAGTATCTTAAAGCAGAAAAAAACAACCAAAAAAACCCCAACAAAACAAAAAAAAAAACCCACAAAAACCACACTCCTTTTTATCCAAGCAGCCCCAGATAGCTTTGGCCTGGACCTAGAAGAGCTCTGCAGAGGGAGCGGGGTCTGGAGTCATCTAGTGCAGAGGGAGTTTCCTGCTCTCAGGGAGGCAGGAGCGGAGGAGTGCAGCCGCTCTCAGCTGGCAGGAGCGATGGGCAGGCCG